AAGTATCTGACAGGCCTGGAAGACCTGTGGAAGACACTCGTTTCCGACACTCGTTGAGGTTGAGGGGTGCATGGCTTTTTTCGACTTCTCCGTGAAAGAGAGAGATGACTGGCAGTGCGTTTTGTGTGTTTGTGAGGAGGTGGATTAGTGAGTCTGAAATCTCCAGTGAATGTTTTATTTTTCTCTTTGCAGATCCCGGATGAATTTTGTTGCTCTGCTAACTAAAGAAGAATAAATTTGCTCCCGGCAACGCATCAAATCTGTCTTGGTGAGTACGTCGTCGAAAGAACTGATTAGTCAAGTAGCGCGGGGTGTAGAAGTGGTTTTTACGGGCCGACCATTGAGGAGCAAGGACCCCGTCGAGGGAGCTACCTTGGGGATGCCCGGGTGCCCGGTCCGCTAAGGCACCGAAGAGGGAACTGCCATATGGGGCGCCCGCGCCCAGGACCGTGACTAGAGCCGCGAGGACTCCGTAGAGGGCACCGCCTTGGGGTAGAGGGCCGCCCCTCCCTTCCGCAAGGATCCCGTCGAGATAGCCGTCGAGGGTACCCGGTGCGCGCGGACCGCCGTGGGAGGCGCCCGCGTCTGGGGCCGTAACTAGGGCCACGAGGATGCCGTCGAGGGGGTGAGGCCGACCACTTACCCCGAGCACGAGGACCACGTAAAGAGAGCCCCTGTAGGAGTTGGACGCCTCGTTGGGATCCCCGCTCCTCTCGCCCGCGAGGACGCCGTCGAGGACAACGCCGTCGAGGGAGCCGGCACCTTCGGGGTACCTGGTCCGTGATGACCGCCGTGCTAGGCGCGCTCGCGTGGGGGGTCGTAACTAGGGACTCGACTAGAGCCGTGAGGACGCCGCCATCAAGAGAGTCTGCGAGAGAGCCGCCTTCGGAGTATAAGCGACCACGTCTGGGGCTGTGACGAGGGCCTCGAGGTTGCCGTCGAGGGAACCGTCTAGGGAGCCGCCATGGGAGTGGGGCCACCCCACACCTCATGGAGGCGAGGACGCCGTCGAGGAGGGACCTGCCGTGAATGGCACCCGCGTCCGTGACTAGACCCCCTTCAAATTTTGAATTTTGCGTCGTTTTGTAACGCGACTTCGCGTTGACATTG